ATGTTGTGATGCTGTGCAGATCAAACTAAATGTGGAGAATGCTAAACTTTTTTGTTCTTGTTCTTTCAAACACTTCATCATTTGAATATTGAGGCAAGGCTACGGATTAAAGCTGTTATAATAAAAGTAGTAGGGCTAAGACTAATACAATACAGTAATACCAGTGTACAGAATACTCTTGTCCTTTGCTTTCACCTGTTCCCAGGTTCTTGTTGTGCTTGTATTCTCTCTGAATATAATGCAGAAATTACACAAAGTAATAGGAATTCCAGCACACGCAGGGGATGTTTATATCAATTATTAATAGCTGTTCATGAATAGATGATGATCTAAACATCCCCTTTGTGTGCTAGAATTCCTATTACTTTGTGTAATTTCTGAATTATATTCAGAGAGAATACAAGCACAACAAGAACCTAGGAATGGGTGAAAGCAAAGGACAAGTTGTGCACAAGATTAGAAGTTATGGATTTAACAGAGATAATACATATTATAGCATCACTTCAAAGCAGTGGACGTGCAGTGGTGGTGACATTAAGGATTCAAATGGGATACATACGCATTTTTATCTGTCAGCCACTTTTTGCCATCTCTCTCTCTTCCTCATAGTCCTGCAGCAGAAGCTCTCGCTCTGCTTCAGTGTCAGACTGCACCCTTTCTTTTGATATTTTGCATGTAGCCAATGAGAAACCAGCAGAACATGGTTTCAACAGTTGGTTTATCTTCTCTAGTTTAGCCAATAACCACATGAATCCAGTTTTTCTAATTCAAAACTCAGGTGTGGGTTGAGGAACCAAAATGTCTGCATAGTCCTAGCCAGCATTAGAAAATCCAGGATTACTTGTTTGATCTTGGATCTGTTTAGCGATGTATGCAGAACACCCCCCTTTTTAAAATTATTCCTGTATTCACCACTGGGGACAACAAAAACACTTCAAGGAGCTTCTCTCCCATAAATGCAACAGACAGCGTAGAACAAGTCATATACTGTAGCTATTTACAGAAGAGCTAAACAAACTGTCTGCTGAGAGGATCACATCACATTGTTTTAAGAAAAGAGGTGATTAAATGTGAAGATGATGCTGATTAAATCTTTCTAAATTATGTGCAATTTATGAACAGGCGTTCATAAATGCATTGAACATAATTTTGTCCTCTGCATCGCACACAGTACATACAAGAACTTTTTTCCTGTGAATTCCTTATGTGTGGGTATGCAGTTTGAGTCCCTTGTGGGAAAAGGCCGACTCTTCCAGTAACAAAGAAAGCCACCAGGGAGCCAAATGCTGAATACAAACACTCCGAATGGCTCTGAATGTATAAAAGTAGTGTTTGATAGAACATCAATTTTAAATTAACATGCAACACTTTAGTAAATGTGCTCTATCATGGAATGGTGTCCTGTCTTTGACTCAGTTCAAATTCTCCAGCCCCTGAGAAATAACTGTAGAAAGAATATGAATTTTTGATTGCCATTTGCAAATTTTACTTGGTAATTTAGTTAAGTGCATGTTTGTAATCTAGCACATGCAATTAGCATGTGACTCCTAAAAGCAGAGTTATCTGGCCTCAGTGCTAAACACACACTGCAATCCAGGCCAAGCTGTTCCCTGTGTGTCTGTTGGCTGGAGCTCTGGGAGGCCTGGCAGCCTTCTTCAGGCTGGCACATTCTGTGACCCTTGGCATATGGTACATGTACCCAGCCTGCCGGCTCATGTGTTGCCTGGTGACCTAGACTATAATAATAGAAAGGTTTGTACAAGGTCTGCTTCCCCAAGTAACCAGAAAGACATGTCTTCTGCAGTCTTACAAACTCTGATTTCTACGAAGTATAGAACATCTCCAAATGATAACAGTACTCAGCTGTGCCTAGGCAAAAACCATCAACCTCAGCTGTACTTCATTTTTAAGCATTAATTAGCACAAAGGACTTAATTAACATATAGGGCTTTTCACAGTTCTCCACATGGACTTAGTTTCCCACAGTCCTCCACTTACCAAGGTCCTGCCCAAAACTGGTATTTACTGTATTACATTGGTAATGTGCAATTATTTCTCCCTGAGGGAAGTTAACAAGCTGTAACCTGGAGCTTTCCCATATGCATAATCTGGCCACCTGATGTGGTTTGTTTTGCTTTGCTTTTCCACTGCTTTCTTCCCTCTATCGGCTACCATTTACAGGAGGGTGAGGCTGGGCTTCTCACACACGTCTGAGCAGAAGGCACAATGCTTCTCAATCACATGTGCAACAAAATATGCCAGTAATGGAGGCTGTATGAGCTGTTTATCAAACAGCTGAAAAAACAGAGTGCAAACTTGCAGTAATGTGACATCTTTGGTGCTGTATCAGCAGTCAACTCACTGAACTCCATATTTTACCTCTAAATCAATGAATAAAGTCCCTGTTTTAGCTCTAAACCAGTGAACATATGTACACACTTGATGCTTGTAATGCTAATACATGAGACATGAGGACACTACCGCTTAACCATGTGGGCGACAGCCCTACCAGCACCCACACCCATGTCCCTGGAACATGAGGAGGAAGCTGTGGTTGAACTTAGTACTACCTCCTGAGTGGTAGCTCAGGGAATTTGCCTCCAAAGTGAACTGAGGGCAGTGGGGTGATATGTTCCAACTTCCTACAGTTGAAAAGGTGGTCACATTAAGTTTTGTTTCTCAGCCATGTCATCATACCAGCAGATTAGTTTAGATTCAACTTTATTGTCATTACCCATGTACAAGTACAAGGCAACAAAATGCAGTTTAGCATCTACGGTAACCAGAAGTGCAATAACAGCAGTGCAGAGTGTGAATATCTACAGTATGTACAGTCAGAACTAATTTACCGATGGATATGTACAATTGATATTTACAGTAAGATATCTAGGGTAATGTACAATATACAACAGACTATGGATTTAAATTACAAGTAATGGATAAGGTACATTAAGCATATGGAACACTAGTGCAATGGGATGAAATGGAATGAAACTGCAGAATAAGAAGATAACAAGCTGCATGAGTGAACAGTTTAATGGACATAAATAGTGTAAAGATAAATATACAGTATCTGCATATGTACAGTGTGCAAATGAATACAGACCAGTATTCTGTGAGTATGTGCAAATTAACAGATCACTTCAGTGTTACAGGTAACAGAAGTGTATTGCATTAGTCCCGGGAGGAGAGATGAGAAGGGGTGAGATGTGTGTAGTGGTATAGAGGAAAGCAGGGGAGGGGGGGTCAACGGGGGACAGAGTTCGGTAAGGAGACAGTAAGGAGGAAGCTGTTCCTGAGTCTACTGGTTTTGGTCCAGAGGCTCCTGAAGCACCTCTCAGAGGGCAGGAGGTCAAACAGTTTGTGAGCAGGGTGAGAGGAACACGTCGGAGACAGCATTCCCTGTGGACACCCTCAATGGCTGGTAGTAAAGTCCTTGTGATGTGTTGGACAGTTGCTGCAGCACCTTGTGGTCAGAGACAGAGCAGTTTCCATACCGGACTGTGATACAGTCTCTCAGTGGCACAGCGGTGGAAGTTCACCAGGATGGCTGAAGTCAGGTGGTTCTTTTTCAGTGTCCTCAGAAAGAAGAGGTGCCAGTCAGACTTCTTAACCAGGCTGCGGGTGTTGGTGGTCAATCCTCTGAGATGTGGGTCCCCAGGAATTTGAAGCTGGAGACACATTCAACGACTATCCCGTTAATATGGATGGGGTCGTGTGTGCCTCCTTTCTCCCTTCCTGTAGTTCACAATGAGCTCCTTGGTCTTGTTGGTGTTAAAGGGCAGGTTATTGTCAGTGCACCACACAGCCAGGTGCTGTACCCACCCCTGTAGGCTGACTTATCATTGTTGCTGATGAGGCCGATCACCGTGATATCTGCAAACTTGATGATGGTGTTGGAGCCATGCACAGGCCTGCAGTCGTGGGTGAAAAGGAAGTAGAGGAATGGGCTCAGCATACAGTCCTGTGGTAGACCGGTGTTGGGGATAATGGTGGAGGAGCAGGTGTTGTCTGACCTGACATGTTGAGGCCTGCTGGTCAGAAAGTCCAGAATCCAGTTCCAAAGGGAGGTGCTGATGCCCAGGTTGCCAAGTTTGGTAGTTAACTTGGAGGGGATAACCATGTTAAATGCTGAGCTGAAGTCTGTGAACAGCATTCTTGCATAAGTGTTGTTGTTGTCCAGGTGTCTGAATACAGAGTGCAGTGCTATGGAGACGGCATCCACCATGCTCCTATTCCTTCGGTAGGCAAATTGGTGGGGGTCCAGTGTGGGTGGGAGACAGGTCATCGGCAATGCCAGGATCAGGCGCTCGAAGCACTTCATGACAATGGGTGTGAGTGCTACAGGTCGGTAGTCATTCAGGCACGTTGGGATGGAATGTTTCGGGACTGGCACAATGGAGGTGGTTTTGAAGCATGTCGGCACAACTTCTTGGGCGAGGGCTAGATTAAAAATGTCCGTAAAGACCCCAGCAAACTAAAGTGCACTGACACATCAACATTGAGATCTCAATGTCAGGTGCAAGTTAGTATCAAAAAAATCTGTTTAGAATCTTGGTTGAAATCTTAAGCTTCCCACCTCAGGCTCATAATCCTTTGTCTGCTCACTTTAAAGCAGGCATTTTTAACTAATTGTGGCCCAGGGACCACCATTCTCTAAGCAACATGAGGACCACACTGGGGTGGATTGACTGGATGGGCAGTATTTTAATCCTGAAAGTCACCTGGACTTCTCAAAATGATCTACTCGCATCAACTTGATTATTCATAAACAATAATGGAATATTTGTGGCCATCTTGGCCAATTTTTAATAGTTTAGATTTTACATTTATATACCACATGAAAATATGTTTAACATCCCAATATTTGGTATAATTTTCTCCAGCACAATCAAATTTTTTTGACCTGAAAATTAGTTGTACATTGTGACATACAACATCAATGTGTATGATAATCAACTCTTGACTACATGTTCAACAACAAAGATTTGTTATCTTACCAGTGCTGTCATCATAAACTACAGTGACTGTCTTCCACTTGAAGAAGTGGACCAGGTCCAGAATCGCTTGGCTGAGGGAGGAGAAGTCTGGATAGAGGCTAACGTAGAAGACGTCTCTGTTGTCGGACACCTGGTGCTTCCACTTGGTCTGGATATGTGGCACCCCCAGTGCATTGCAAATGGACTGGACTGCATTAGCTGAAGAACTGTGAGAGGGACCAAAGATGGCTGCCACCCCCAGGGAAAGCTGGTCACATGCTAGAAAAGGGAAACATCTGAATTAGCTCCCTCCTACTAGGCTGCAGCATATCCAAAGCTTATATCCTGTTCTTCTGCTCTTCAAATACTGTTAAAAACATATCAATGAGCCATGCTTTTTATTACTATGAACATGCAGTCTGTAGTTTATTTTAACTCATCCCCACAAAAACTGTCCAAATACTAGACTGTTGTGGTTGTTGTCATTTGTTCTGTTGATCGATTGCCAATACTCAAGAAAGAGGGTATTTCCTAATATGAGCCTGTCTGTGGGCGTGACTGGCCTGCTGATGATAGCAAGAAACTCTTTATAATGGAATTTTACAAGTCATGGTTCTGTCAGAGAAACTTTATAGTTCTTTAAATTCTTTAAGTTAGTTTTAGACATATTTTACCTCTGTCACAGTCTACAGGGTATAGAAGTTACAGGGGTAGGAATGAGGTGGGTTTAGGTATCAGTAATTCTCCTGAATACTGTATCTGTGTATGGGGATAACCAGCTCAAACCAGTAGATAACAGAAGTAAAGTAATAACCACTGTCAAATGATAAACCCTATGAGTTTAAAAAGTGTGGGTCAGTAACTTAGACTACATTCACACTGCAGGCTCAAGTGGTCCAAATCCGATCTTTTTGCCCAAATGTGACCCATATCCAATTTCCTTATGACAGTGTGAACAGCACAAATTCGATTTTTTCAAATCAGGTCCAGGCCACTTTCATATGTGGTCCTAAATCGAATACATATCCGATGTTTTGCAATGCGACTTCAGTCAGTGCAATTTCATGCGATTTTTATGTCACTGAAATGCGACAGACGTGACAATTCTGCGCTGAAGGAGGCGAGGCCATAAGCAATATTTGTGCTCTCCTTCTTCTTGATATTCTTCTTATTATTATTTCTTTATTTCAATTGCACATTAACTGGTACATCGCTATGCACATGCTATCACGAGCATCCATTTTTATTTTCGCAAACACAGTACGCTGCATCACGTCCTCTTCTGCGCATGCGGGTCACCTCAGGGCCGTATACCGTTCACACATGAGACAGATGGCAGTCGCATTTAAATGACAATGTCAACAGCAGCGCAAAAAAATCGAATTTCGGCAAAAAATCTGATCTGAGCATTAAGACCTGCAGTGTGAACGTAGTCTTAGCTTTAAACAGACATGAACATACAATTTTGTGTGTATATCACGATTTTCTGACACACAGAATAAATAACATGTAACAAACCTGACAGGCAAACCATGTGCAAATGCTTTCACTTAGCAGGGATAGAGGACTGTCTCTTCAGATGTGTTTAACACCTCAGAACCCCCTACTATTGTTCACTCTTTTCTCCCCCAGCCTGCAGAATCCACAAAACCTCTAGCCTGACGATACACCTGAGTCACATCTGATAGATTGCGAAAACACTTTGACACCTAAGAAGCCACAAGCTGTTTAACATCACACTAAAAAGTGAAACCTTTATTACTCCAGAGGAGAAAAGAATTCCCTGGATAAACACTCACTGATCCCACCAACCAATGGAAATTTAGATAAGGAACTCACATAAACCATTACTCATTCAATTCCAAGACAGATGATCTGTGCACCACTCTCTCTCCATCCTAGCCCCCAAGACTCCCTCCTGTTTTATGACACCTTATCTGATCACAGACTCTGAACCTACTTCCCCCCAACACACACAGATCCTACAAGTAAACTCAGTATGTAACTTTATATAATACAGTGAATAACTGATACCAGTGTTATTTCGTGTTATTAAATGTGTTCAAGAGAAGATGGTGTGATTGTGACAGCAACCCAGATTTCTCTATCTTTTTCAGAAGCCCAGATAAGTTTAATTCATAACTGGATGTCTTCCTGAGCCGCTCTCAAGGAAGCTCTGTGTGAATCAACACTACCACCATCTGACAAACGTGTTGTGTTTGACCCAGGTAACCTGTCCAGAGACCTCTGAGATTACTAAATGCAAGTGTCAAAACAATGTGCCTTAGATGAATGTATGCTTTTGACTAACGTGATGTCACCAGTAATATCTTATTGTCCCAGTATTGACTACAGCAGCAGGTATACTTCAAGTTAAATTCCAGTAACTGAAGGTACCTTTATCAGAGAAAATTTCCAGACTTGAAATGTTATAGGCTTATTTCTGGTGTTTTATTTAAATTGGCCCACATCTGAGTATAATTA